GAACCCTTTCTACTCAGCCCGTTATGAAAGGTTGTGATGGCCATCCCTTCGAAAACATTTGGTAAGGTCATCCTTACCCTGTTGAACCGGGCGAGAAAGTCCCTCTCCTGAGGATTGTTTGATGGCGAAGATGTCATTTACTCTTGTTTCGACTTTCTTATTCCCGGCATGTGCCGTCACGAACTTATCGGCCATCTCTTAGAACGTTTCTATGGAACGGGCCGATAGCTGTGAATACCATGTTAATGCCCTTCCAGTGAGGGTTTCGTCAAATTGTTTCAGCAAAATGGAGGACATCTGCTCCTTGGTAAGGTCGTTGCCTTTTATAGCGGTGACGTAGTGAGTCATATGAACTTCGGGGTCGGTTTTTCCATCATATATTCTAAGATATGGGGGAATCTTGAAGGTCTTTGGTATAGCATGTGTGGATCCACTTCCTCGCTATATGGTTGTTCTATGAATCTACTGGCGTCCCTTTTTGGTAGCAATTTGGGGGCACCAGGTATCTTGTCAACTAGCTTTCGGTGCTCTTTCATTTGGTCTCTGAGCGTCTTATTTTTATTTTCCATTTCTTCCATTCTTTTCAAGATGGTGGCGAGGACGTTGTCACCTGTACTGTAAGTAACATCGTGAAGTTTACCTGAAGTTGGAGGGTCTGGTTGGTCGTCATGTTCGTCCCCTCGTGGTGCTGCATGGGCTCTCATGATTTCTGTAGTCGTGGATGGAGCTTGTTTACTGAGTACGCTGACTAGGGTATCAGTTAGCCATGCTTCGAGGAGTTTTTTCATAGAGGGTGGCGTCCCCTCTCATGCGGACGTGGAAGGTCCTTTCCCGTTTTATTTTTGTTGTGCTGCGGATAGGTGGGGGTGACCGTTCTTGTCTAGGAGAGGTCGTAGGCGTTACCCCCCTCATCATGGGTGTCATAGCGTTCATTGATAGCATTCATGAGGTTGAGGGGAACATTATATGTTTCCCTCGTTCCGTGTCCTTGGTTACCTGCCATGAAAATTTTGTACGCACAAAGGACAGATAAACTTTGTGGTTTGTTAGATTAGCAAGTCACGTGAGTTGTAGATCTAATGGAAACTAAAAGATTGGCTGAGAAAATCCCCATAAATAGGGCCAGACTGTTTGGCCCAAAATTTAGATCTAGGTTTAAACAATTTGATTTTCAAATAGAATAGAGTTAATCTTAGCCAATATTAATATCCAAAAGGCCGTTTAACTGATTTCGTGACAATAATGGCACAAGTTCTGTCAGATAACAACGAATATGTAACAATGATAGTATTTAATGGCCCAAGAACAAAGAAGACAACATTCAATAGCAATAAATAAAATATAATGGTATTTAAGTAAATAAATGCAAGTGAGATAACCGAAAAAGGGTTATTTTCGGTGATATTCTTCCTGACAATGATAAGTGATTGATTAATCTTTGAATATTCGTATTCTTCTTGGATCGTGGGATAAAAGTTAGAATCAGATATGAGGAAAATGTATATTTTGTATGTATATTAAGCAAGAATCTTCAGAGAATGTCAAAGTGTTGTTCTTTTACAATGAGTGTTCAATCCCCTTCTATAACTACATATCTTTCAATTTATAAGGGAACATGGGCCACAAAATTCTAATAGTACATATTCCAAAAATATTCACTAGAATATTCTCTTTAAAGTCTTATCCCTAAAATTAGCCATTATTGCTCCGTTAAGGAGAGTAATCGTCCTCGATCTCTATTGACTCCTCGACCTCGCCTTCATCCTTTGTTGAAATCATATCGATGATGTGTGGCAACCTTCAAAGGCTCTCCTAATGTTGACTTGGCCCACACATAACTAGGATAGTTTTTGGCCCATACAAAAACATGAGACCAATAGAAAGTAAAGGAGTAAGTGCAATCAAGGGCGAAACTATAACATTAGCTACGGGTTCGGATTAATTCAATAACTTTTGCTTAAATTTTTATTTGTCTTAAAATTTTTATTAAATATGTATAAATTTAATTGACCCGTTAACTAAAATGAGTTATGAGTTCGATAACAAATTAATGACTTATTAAACTTTAGCTCCGGCTCTAAGTGGAAGTGGAAGGCGATGTCTAGAAGTTGTGCCTTTAACAAACAGTATAACGAGGAGCAGCTTGAATGAGTGGTAGGTACAGGTGGTTGTCATCTTAATGGGTTTCTAATAATAATCAGATTCACGGACAAAACACATGTTTCCAACCAGTAATATCCTAGGTTAGGTAGCTTATATTGTCAACGGAAATGTATTCTTAATCATACATTATAAAGAGCTCACCATTTTTCGATTCTTTTTTCAACGAGACAAAACATCATTATATGAAAAATCTCGAATTCAAACTTTGTTTCCTGACGTATTGCTTCTACTATTTGATATATTAGAAACCGTACTCATAAGAAAGCTTGACATAATAAGTATTTAGATAATTTAATGTTTATGTGTAAATAAGCAATAGATATCGTTAAGCAAATGCTCCTTTATTTTTTCTTTTCGTGAAAAATAAAAAAGTTATAGTCCGTATAATTGACAAATTAATATCACACACAGCAGTTAGTAAGCCAACTGAATTCCATCTGTTTACTCAAAAAATAGATAGAGTTGAATTTATACGTAGTTCTAAGGATACGTGGTATAACTTGGTAAAAATTGGAAAAATAAGTAGAGATATATCGAATATTGACTGTAAAAAGGAATGAATATAAACCCAAATTGAGTAGAGAATGATTGATAAGTGAACAAGATGAATCAATATCAAAAGCCCAAAAAATAATAATATTTGCTAGATGTTATGTAAATCTCAATAATCTCTGAATGTGAGAGTGTATGAATGTATATCAATCTGTGAATCTATGAATTCGGTCCCCTTGAATGAATGATAATCACTCTTAATATAGTGGAGGAATCCTACTTTGAATATAATTAAAAATTCATAGTGGGGATCCCATGATAGATTAATTAATTAGCTTTTCCTTGATTTCCGCCGAGATTCTCTTCCCAAATGCGGCTATAACAGCTCTTTTGTCCCTTGGCTCGATCTCGATCTTGGTCGGTTTCGGTATTGATCGGTCTCTGTATTGGTCGGTCTCTAGGTCTCGAGCTCGATATTGACTCGAGCTCGATCGGTCTCTGGGTCTTGAGCTCGATATTGACTCGAGCTCGATATTGACTCGAGCTTGGTATTGATCGGTCTCTGGATCTTGGGCTCGATAACACAACTTCACATCATAGCTCGATATTGACTCGAGCTCGGTATTGATCGGTCTTTGGATCTTGGGCTCGATAACACAACTTCACATCATAGCTCGATATTGGCTCGAGCTCAGTATTGATCAGTCTCTGGATCTTGAGCTCGATAACACAACTTCACATCATAACTCGATATTATAATGACGACCATTGGTCCATCATGCTCCAATCTTGATTAAACACACGAAGGGCAAACTCGGATTTGATCGTATACAGATAGTCCCCTCGTTTCTGGAAAGAAGGTGCCAAGAAACGATGTGATTTTTCAAACTCTGACTAGATACATACTGACGTATGCGTCTAGCCCGATTGCGACGTATGTGACAAATGTCCCGTCAGTCCAGTTACGAAGGCATTAAATGTGCGTCAGTCGATGGTCGGCCACTGCCCATTTTTTAACTGTAACTGTGAAATCTATAAATAGCCCCCCTTCTTCATTATTTTAAACCTTTACCTTCAAATCTTTTCATTCCAACCTTCACAGTTCTTCGCCTTCTCCAAAGTTCTCTATTTCCAAGTTTAAAAATTTCTTTGCTTGTTCTTCACCAAACACCAAAATATTTCAATTCCCCATTTTCTTTGTTCTTGAAAATTTAGATGGCCAAGATATCTAAAATTGTTCCTCAGAAAGAGGTTGCTTCCTCATCTTGGCCGGCCGGTGAGAAACCGGTGGTGGATCCATGCCTTGAAAAACTCATTCCCGGGGGATGTGTTATCGATTCCGACTTTAAGGTCGAGAAACCCTCATCGGTTTCTGGTCGATGTGAGCCGGTATCGAGATATATATGCTCGATACCCCAAATTCTTCTTGATTTGGTGAAGAAAGATTGTGGTTGGGAAAACAAAGAGGTTGTGATACCAGCACCGGAGGAAGCGATCACTACCCACGTGGAAGGGTACTTGAGTGTTTACACTTATTCTATCATACTAGGTCCCCTCGATCCGGGCATCATCGACGTCTGCAAGAAGTACCAAGTGACCCTCGGCCAAATACACCCTTCTTTCTGGAGGATTGTAATACTGCTCCATTTCTTTGTGAGCAAGATCGACGGGCTTCCCTTCACCCTCGACCACCTCGTAAGATTATATAGCCCTCATCTTTACCGAGGTGGGCTGATAAAGCTTCAATGCCGGGCCACCAAGGCGTTCACCTCGAGCATAGATAAAGACAAATATCGGGGTTGGATGAGCCGGTTCGTTCGAGTGAAGACCTCGGACCTAATCCCGGCTGAGAGTATGCCATTTCCCGAGAAATGGAATATGAACCGTAAGTGTGATTCTGTTTTTAGTTTTTGTTGTTTTTACTTCTTCATCTTTTCTTATCAGTGTTTTTCTTGACACAGCCGTTGCTTAGATGCAGGGTGCGGTTCCCCATCTCGAGAACTGGGTCAGGAGCCTAGTTTCGACGTCATCATATGCCGAGCGCGCATGGCGCGATTTGTCAAAGGGCCGGTGGGAGGCTCGTACTCATGGTAAACCTTCCTCTTGGCTCACCGATTTGCTTATTGTTCAAGTATTTTTTCAGGCATAAGTTTTACTTACTTTTCTTTCTTTGTAGGTCTCGGAAAAGATGCGGTTATGAGACCCCCATCAGGTGATAAAGAAGTTTTACCGCCTATCTCAAAACCAGAGAATGTGATTTAGAGAAAAGGGCCTTGGACTCCGAGGGTCAAAAACCCAAAAAGAGAGCGGCTCGTAAACCCAAGGTGAACACAATCCCTTTGACTATGGAGTCGGTCCTGAGTTTAAGGGATGAAGAAGAAGAAGAAGAAGAAGAAGAAAGTGATTTCGGGTTGTTAGCCCGTGCACGGGCTAGCAGCGATACTCAAAATACTTTGGTATCGGTGGGAGTTGATAATGCTCCGTCCAGGCTTGATGAGGTCGAGGAGGAGACTTTGACCCAAGTTCCCGAGCTGAGGGAGACCGAGGATGTTTTACCTCGGGGCAAAGAGACCGTCGAAGAAGCTGCGGATGTCGGTGTGCAAACCGAGCATGAGGCTCCCCAAGACGGAGGCGGCGCCCAAAAAGACCTGCTTGGGGAAATAAATATCGGGGATTCCCCCTCTTTCCCTTCATTTTCCCAGTCGATGATACGTGACGCTCAAGCTGTGGAGACTTGTCACGGGGAGGGAGCCCATAGAGAGGAGGTCCCTTTCCGTGGTTATTTTATCGGGGTAGAACATGTCATCGGCCCGAGTGACTTGGAGGCTCCGAAGAAGAGCTCGAGTGAGGTAGGAGCGCCTTGCCTTTTCAACGAAGCCCAACAGGCCCTAAATAGGGTAAGTTCATACTTTCTTTGCCAATTTTCATAGTTGTGTTTTTCTTTCCTTGTATAATCCCTTATTTTTATTTTTGTAGGCTTCTGTGCTTCATCACGAGGCATTTTTCTGATCCCGAGGGGAGCTGAACCAGTACAAAGCCGAAGTTCGAAGGCTTACTGAGGAGAGAGATGCCTTAAATCTTCTCATAGAGCAGAGAGAAGGAGAAGTAAAAGGACTTCGGGCTGAGCTGGAAACATCTCGAAAAGAACAAACTGAGCTGGCCGAGCAGGTAAAAAGAATCTTTGAATTTAATGATATTGACTCAGGAGTGATGACTAAGAGTTCGGTCTCGCAGGTCAAACAAAAGTTCGATGTGATCAGGCAGCTTCGTGTTGAAGTGGACGTAGTGAAATCGGAGGCCGGGGAATGGAAGAAGAACATGGACCGCCTCGCCTCAGAAAAAGAGACTGCCCAGACTCAACTGGCTTCGGCTGAGGCCCAACTCCGAAGCTTGAAAGAGAAATCCTTGGTGCAAGCCAAGAAAATTGAGGAGTTCCAGTCTCGGTTGAGCTCAGCAAATTCTGATCGAGAGAGACTGGCCACAGAACTCGCAGCAAATTCCGATGCATTAGTGGTCGTTTATCAATCTGATGCCGAAGTTGCTCATGTTCGAACAAAAGAGGTTGTTGAGGCTGCTCAGGCTCAAGCAAACTGGGTTGTCGATCATGCTAAATGCCAGTCTCGAAGGGAGACTCTCGAAGAGATCCATGCTCGTGGCTTCGATCTTACAGCCGAGATCGAGAAAGCTAAGGAGCTTGAAGTCGAAGCCAGAGTGTTGGCCTTTCCTGATGATGATGATACCAGGAGTGTGAGCGGATCTAAAAGTGAAGGGGGCCTCGAGGGCGAAGATGCTGCTCCCGGAGAGGACTAAGTCTTTTAGTAATTTTTGTGTTTCTTATAAGACCGTTTTGGCCTTTTATAAAGAACTTTGATCGGGCCATGCTGCCCTTGTAAATGATTTTTGACATGTATAAAAATCTTTCTTCCTTTCTTCCTTATAGAATTGTGAAATTTGTATTCTAAGGCCGGGGTTCAGATAATTTGATCAAAACCGAACTAGTGTAGCCCTTAGGCCTTTTGATCGAGTGAGTGCTTACTTGAACTCGAAGTAAAAAAGAGCCCTTAGGCTTTATAGTCGAGTGAGTGTTTGCTCAAACTCGAAGTAAAGTACATCCCTTAGGCTTTATGGTCAAGTGAGTGTTTGCTCGAACTCGAAGTAAAAAATAGCCCTTAGGCTTTATGGTCGAGTGAGTGTTTGCTCGAACTCGAAGTAAAGTAAAAGCCCTTAGTCTTTAGGGTCGAGTGAGAGTTTGCTCGAACTCAAAGTAAAAAACAGCCATTAGGCTTTATGTTCGAGTGAGTGTTTGCTCGAACTCGAAGTAAAACACAGCCCTTAGGCTTTATGGTCGAGTGAGTGTTTGCTCAAACTCGAAGTAAAGTACAACCCTTAGGCTTTATGGTCAAGTGAGTGTTTGCTTGAACTCAAAGTGAAAAATAGCCCTTAGGCTTTATGGTCGAGTGAGTATTTGCTCGAACTCGAAGTAAAGTAACAGCCCTTAGGCTTTATGGTCGAGTGAGTGTTTGCTCGAACTCGAAGTAAAAAACAGCCCTTAGGCTTTATGGTCGAGTGAGAATGATTTCTCAAACTCGAATTAAGGTAGACCTTAGGCTTTGTAGTCGAGTGAGCATGATTTCTCAAACTCGAATTAAGGTAGCTCTTAGGCTTTATGGTCGAGTGAGTGTTTGCTCGAACTCGTAGAAAAAAACAGCTCTTAGGCTTTATGGTCGAGTGAGTGTTTGCTCGCGCTCGAAGTAAAGTAACAGCCCTTAGGCTTTATGGTCGAGTGAGTGTTTGCTCGAACTCGAAGTAAAAAAATAGCCCTTAGGCTTTATGGGAGTGAGAATGATTTCTCGAACTCAAATTAAGGTAGCCCTTAGGCTTTGTAGTCGAGTGAGGATGATTTCTCGAACTCGAATTAAGGTAGCCTTTAGGCTTTGTAGTCGAGTGAGGATGATTTCTCGAACTCGAATTAAGGTATCCCTTAGGCTTTGTAGTCGAGTGAGGGTTTGCTCGAACTCGAAGCAACGTAGCCCTTAGTCTTTATAGAGCTTGATCTCGTTGATTTTTGGGGTGGCAGTCCCCGATTTATGGGGTAATCATTCAAACTCCGGTCATGGTCGGCCATTAATCCTGTTTACATAATAGATCGAGAACATGAAGTAGAAGAATCTTTTGGAGATATGAGATATCGGTAAAGAAGAAATTCCTTTTTATAAGTCATTATACATGCGTTCATGTTTTGTGCCAGGGCTCGAGCAAACTATGTGGGCATGGTTCGTTTGACCATTTGGCCCTTACAATGTTTCTTATAGAGACCCTGTTGCCATGAAGTAACTTCCTTGCATCGAACTTGATATATTCGAGGGTAATGCCCCCCAATAATCGAGGTTGATTGTAAAGAGGCCTTGGATACTGTTAAATTGTTCTAAGTTAGCACGATCAATGGTTGACTCATTAAAAACCTCGCCGAAAAACCCATTTGGGACAAAACCGCTCTAAGGGAAAAAGAGTGCAATGCGTGCTTTCAGACCTAAAGGCTTCGAGTTGAAGAATCCATCCCTGTTTCTGGTCGAACACCTGCAAAGGATAATTTCGAAATACAAATGAACATGGGAGGGTCGTACTTTAGCAGTAGTATCGTTTTAGGTGCGATACGTTCCAATTGCTCGGTAGTTGTTTTTCGTTTATCACATCGAGCTTGTAGGATCCTTTTCCAATGATTTCGAGAACCTGATACGGTCCTTCCCAGTTTGGACCTAGTTTCCCTTCATTCGGATTTCGGGTGTTGAGGGTGACTTTCCTTAGCACCAAGTCCCCGGTTTTAAAATGTCGAAGATTGGTTCTTCGATTGTAGTACCTTTTGATCTGCTATTTTTGGGCGGCTAATCAGATGAGAGGGGCTTCTCGTCTTTTGTCCAATAATTCTAGGTTCGTATTCATGGTCTCGTTATCCGACTCCTTTGTTTCATCTCGAAACCTGATGCTAGGTTCTCCGACCTCAACCGGGATCAGAGCTTCGGCGCCATAAACCAACAAGAATAGCGTTGCTATGGTACTGGATTTCGATGTTGTGTGGTATGCCCATAGGACCTCGGGTAGTATTTCTCTTCATTTTCCTTTAGCGTCGGTCAATCTCTTCATAAGATTTTGGATGATGGTTTTGTTGGTCGATTCGGCTTGTCCGTTCCCGTTGGGATTATAAGGTATTGATAGGATCCTTTTGATCTTGTGATCCTCAAGAAATTTAGTTACTTTGTTGTCGATGAATTGTTTTCCATTTATCACATACAATCTCGGATGGCATCCCGAATCAACATATGATGTGGTCCCAAGTGAATTCTATCACTTCTTTTTCTCTGACTTTCTCGAAAGCATGTGGTTCAACCCATTTAGAGAAATAATCAGTCATAAACAAAATAAACTGAGATTTACCTGGGGCATATGGGAGGGGGCTGATGATGTCCATTCCTTATTTTATGAAAGGCCGTGGAGATAGGACCGAGTGGAGTAGCTCCTCGGGTTGATGAATCATGGGCGCATGTCTTTGGCATTTGTCGCATTTTCGAATGAACTCCCTTGTATCCTTGCCCATATCGGTCCAATAATACCCTGCTCTGATTACTTTGTGGACCAGCGAATCGGCACCGGAATGGTTTCCACAAGTGCCCTCGAGAATTTCCCATAGGATATAATCGGTATCTCCTGGTCCCAAACATATTGCCAATGGTCCATCAAACGTCCTTCTAAACAGCGTTTCATCTTCGGACAGGGTGAATCGTGCTGCCTTTATGCGCAGAGCTCACGATTCCTTTGGATCTAATGGAAGCTTCCCGTTCTTGAAGTGCTCTATATATTTGTTTCTCCAATCACAGGTTAGACTTGTGGAGTTTATCTCGGCGTGACCTTCTTCGATCACCGATCTTATGAGTTGTACGACAGTCCCCGAGTTGAGTTCGTCATCTTCGACCGATGAACCTAAGTTTGCAAGAGCGTCGGCCTCGCTGCTATGTTCTCGAGGTACATGTTGCAAAGTCCATTCCTTAAATCGATGTAGATTCACCTATAATTTATCCAAGTACTTCTGCATTCGATCTTCTCGGACTTCAAAGGTCCTGTTAGCTTGGTTTACCACGAGGAGGGAATCACACTTAGCCTCTACGACCTCCGCTCCCATGTTTCTGGCTAATTCGAGACCTGCAATCATGGCCTCATACTCGGCCTCATTGTTAGACAATTTTGTAGTTATGATATACTGTCTAACTACATTACCTGTGGGTGATTTTAGTATGATGCCTAGTCCGGACCCCTTTGCGTTCGAGGCACCGTCCGTAAAGAGGGTCCAGACTCCTGAAGAGGTACCCGATTTTATCAATCGTTCTTTTTCAATATCGAGTACGAAGGCCGGCGTAAAGTTAGGCTTGAAGTCTGCCAATATTTGAGATTTGATAGTGGTTCGGGGTCGATACTCAATAACCCGCCGATTTCATTGTCCCATTAGACCAATCGACCTGAAAGCTCGGGTTTGTGCAAAATACTTCGAAGAGGATAAGTTGTTACAACATGTATCGGATGACATTGAAAATATGGTTTTAGCTTCCTAGAGGCGCTTATTAAAGCAAGCGCTAATTTTTCTAAGTGTGGATACCTAGTTTCGGCCTCGCCTAAGGTCCAACTGACATAATAAATAGGGAATTGCGTACCTCGTTCTTCTCGAACCAGGACTCCACTTACCGCTATCTCCGAGACAGCTAAGTATAAGTAAAGTTGTTCGTCCACTTTCGAGGTATGAAGCAAAGGCGGGCTCGATAAATACCGCTTCAGTTCCTCCAAAACCTATTGGCATTCCGGAGTCCATGCAAAGTTGCATTTCTTCTTAAGTAGTGAGAAAAATTGGTGGCTCCTATCTAAGGATCTCGAAATGAATCGTCCTAGGGTTTTTATTCGTCCCGTTAGCCTCTGCACGACCTTTACATTATCTACTACCGTGATGTCTTCGATAGCTTTGATTTTATCGGGGTTGATATCGATTCCTCGATTGGACATCATAAAACCAAGAAACTTGCCCGAGCCAACCTCGAATGCACATTTTTCGGGGTTGAGCTTCATATTGTACTCCCTCAGTATATCGAAAGTTTCCTGCAAATGCTTTAAATGGTCCTCTACTCGCAGGGACTTAACTAACATGTCATCAATATAAACTTCCATTAATTTTCCTATTTGTTTTTCGAACATTCGGTTTACTAGGCATTGATAAGTTGCACCAGTATTTTTTAGACCGAATGGCATTATGCTATAATAGTAGGTATCGTACTTAGTGATAAACGAGGTATTTTCCTGATCCTCTGGGTTCATTTGTATCTGGTTGTACCCGGAATAGGCGTTGAGAAAGCTGAGAGTCTCGTGGTCGGCCGTGGCATCGATCATACGATCGATATTAGGCAAAGAAAAAGAATCCTTAGGGAATGCTTTATTCAGGTCTTTATAATCTATACATATTCTAAGTTTGTTTCCCTTCTTAGGGACTACCACCACATTTGCTAGACATTCGGGGTATTTTACTTCTCGAATGAATCCTATTTTAAGAAGTTTGGTTACCTCGTCCTTGATGAAGGCATGTTTGACCTCGGACTGGGCCTTCTTTATTGCTTTACCGGATGGAATTTCGAATCCAAGCTTAGTCTATGAGTGGTTGTTTTCGGTGGGATCCCTGTCATATCAAGATGCGACCAAGCGAAACAGTTCATGTTAGCTATAAGAAATTGAATAAACCTTTTCCTGAGCTCGGGATCTAACCCTGTTCCCGGGTATAC